CAACTTTATTCTTAGAAGTGCCGCAGTCAAACTTGATAAGGTCAGAGCCTGAATGAGACCAGAGTTCAATCTTGTCTGTGGTCTTGTTGGGGTTTAACTATGTGGTACTTGACTTCTTTTATTTATCATGGCCATGGCTATTTTATTTTATTTTATTTTGGACATTGTGTCAATTTGAATGATTACATAGTTGAATAATTAATTTGATAATTAAAACATTCATATTTTCTAATATTTGCACTTATTCAGGTGTTATGAAATGGAGAAGAGGCTAAAAACCCCAGATCTTTTCAAATTTCCTTTCTTTGAAGCCATCTGTTGGTTTGTGGCCAAAAACTTACTGGAAACATTGAAAGGTAATTTTTGTTTTAAGAGATGCACTTATATCTACTTTCATAATTCTTTATCTCTTCATGGATAGTGAAGAAAATTGCACTGCTTTTCTGTGAACAGAGGAGACTTTTTAAGCTGGAAAACTAGACTTGAATTACTTCTTCTTTTCCTTTTTTTGGAAAGTCACATCATTTTTTTTATCAGATTTTAGTGAGTATTGCAATGTGACAGTTCTAGATCCAGCAGTTCTTGGTTTTCATAAATGATCTTGCTAAAAACTGCTTTGATGATTAAAGGTAGTAATAACCAAGAGGTGATTAAAAGGGTAACTTGCACTGGACAGAAATGTTAGTGCATTTAGTGGTGCATGTAACTCACACCTCATAGCCTGCTGCTGGAACTTTTGAACTATTTTATTAGTGTTTTATTTAGTGCTTTTCATCTAATGCTTATGCTGTATCCAGTCAATGAAAATATTCTAGATTTTAAAGGCAGAATATCTGAGATGCTGGTACATTGCAATTATACTACCAGCCAAATAGGATTCATTTGCCATTATCTCACAAGACTTTTTTAAGGAAGACAGGAAACTTATTTCCATGGCATCAGTTTTTCTTTCAGGCTTCTTTCATATCATTTAAGATCTTGGAGTACCCTTGGATAGCCTTTCCTTCAAGCTAGTGATTCTATGAAATGATCCCACCAACTTGTATCTGTGGGTTTTTTCTTGATGGCTTCAGTGCTGAACAGAGAAACTTTTTTGCACTTCTACAATTTTCTTTGACCTTTTCAGTTACTCTACCTGTTTTCTTCTGCTCTTGGTTGTGAAGAGAGTTCATCAGTTCCTATGAGCTTGCTGTTCTTTTCCAAACTTCCTCATCTATTCTTTAATTGCTATATTTGTACCCATGTATAATTGAGCTCGAGAGAATGTCTGTCTGACTTCACCTTCTTTTCCTCAAATATCTTGCCCTCTGCCTGCTCTATTTAATTTTAATAATATGATGTATTTCAAAGGACAGAAATCAACCTTCAGAGGAGGCTGCTGAATTCAGCTTCTGCTTTGAAAGAGATCAGAATCTCACATAACCTTTTTCTCATGTGGAAACAGTCACAAGTTATTGAAAATTATCTGTTCTCCTTTCAGCTAATGAAGACATTGAACAACCCTTGTTTCCAAAATGAGCATTTAAAGTTTCTGGTGAACCATAAAGCAACTCAGAAATCTTACCAAATAGAACAAACTTGCAGAAAATTTTTCCTTCCAAAAAGAGAGTATTTTTTTCTTGAAAGCTTGCTTTGGTTGGCCTCAGTCCTGCGTATTTAATGCTTGCAAACTCATCAGAAGACACAGGAACTGTATTCCTGCTGGAAAAGCAGTGGAATATGTATGTTTCTGTATCACCTAGCTAACTATAAGCTGTGTCTTTTGGCCCCACTCTTCCCCCTCCCCTTTTTGTCCCATGACTCCTTGAGTTCATAGGCTAGGAGCCTCTTGTGACTTAGGGGAGGAGGACGAAACTTATTCTCATGTTACATTTAATCTTTGGCTCAGTAGATGTTTGTTGCTGAACAATGCTATGACCTATAAACCCATCATAAAAAATGAAAATTCAGGTTTCCATGGCTAGAATGAAGTCTATGTTGGGCTTTGGCATGAAGACTCATATGAATTATATGTTTTATAGTCAGAATCCATTGTTTTATAAACAAGGGATGATACCGGTTCGGTTGTGTAAGGTAATGGTGATGTCCAGCCTTTAAATTGTTGAGTTGTTGGCAGTACTTTATATGAAATCCAGGTCAGTAAGCAAAGTCAAAGCAGCATATCTTTCTTCTTCTTTTTCTAAAATGCCAGCAGGGTCACAGACATACCAACTGAGCCAGGTAGTGGGCAGGAAGACTTCTGCAGCTCAAAGCCTGCCCCTCCTTCTCATACGTTTTGAAAAGTAGGAGGCCTTTGAGAGATGAACAACTCTTCAGTAACAGAACTTCATTTTTTCTGCCAGCATACTAATACATTATCCATAAGAACAGTGTTTTATTAGTGTATTCTTTTGAGGGAATAAAATGAGCCAAGTAGTTCTAATGTTGATCCATTTGCTGTTGACAAGTGGAAATATTTGTCAGGAACACGAGGAGAGGCCGTAATCTACTTTTGGCTGTTTATGGAGTATTTGTCTTTTCCCTTCTTTTTTCACCCCTGTGGAGGAAAAGAGAAAAGGAATTGCAATTACTTGGAAGCACCAGCTTCCTTTAGAAAGGGAGCTTCTGTAGCAGAGTGGTTTCCATCTCATGTCCCCTTTGATTTTGGGAGGAAAAATGCTATAAACCGTGTGAGGGAGAATTGATAACTGAAAGGGTTAGAGAAAATGTTTGGGGAATGGAAATATGCTAGTGTGAGCCATTTGCAGAGTATATATGGGAATAAGTGATACAAATTCTAATTTAGAGATACATCCCACATCCTTCTGGTCTCCTTTGACTAAAATATTTCTTAATGAGATAAAAGTGATTTATTTCTTCAAATATGTTTTCTTTTGTTATGTATTTTAAATCTGGTTTTTTTTTTTTTTTTTTTTTTTTTTTTTTTTTTTTTTTTTTTTTTTTTTTGTAATTGATCTTTAGTATGATGTAAACTAACCCTAATTCACACAAGAGTAAGTTAAAAAAAGAAGGTTTTATATAGAATCACTTTAGCGTTGGGTTTGGCTTTTGTTGTTGTTGTTACGGTATGCACATAAATACAGGATGTCATGTTTCATTTGCTTGCGCCATTTTTCCTTTAATGTGCTGTTGCACAATAGAAACTTTTATTGACTGAAGGGTAGGTATCATTCTATTGTTTTCACTGTTTCTAAATTGGTTTCTGTATCCTTTTTAGAACTGAGGGAAGATGGTTTCCAGCCTCCAAGCTATTTAGTGCAAGGAGTGAAGGCTTTACTTACTGCTTTAAAATTATGGATGAAAAAAGAAGTAAGTATAAGTGATTTTGTTTGCTTTTTTGTTGAGCTCTGTTTTGATTTAGAAATAAGTTAAGGTCTGTGCCCTTTTAAAGTTCAGGATTATTTTTATCTGTTAATGAGTACTGAAAAAGTCTATGGAGAGTATATACTGCTGATCTGGGGAAAATCATCATAACAATTTTATATTCCATGATGCTAATAAAGTCTATTAAGACCAATTAATAATCTCAAGTATTGTAGCTGATAGAAGTAGAATCTTGTTCAGCTCAGGATGGAATAAGAATGCTAGAGGATAAGTGGGACTTTTTTCTAAGAAATGTGTTTATGTAGTCAATTAACCCTAGTCTGAGGCAGTGGAGGGATGGAATGCCCTAATATTAGTCAGTGATTTGGAAAGCACATTTCAGCTACACCTGCCAAAGACTCAATTTAGATTCAGACTGAGGAATATTAACTTCAGTTGAATACTGTCCTTGCTGAACATGGATTGACTCTTGTAAAATCATTAGTATGCCATCAATACTGGCTTTGCTGGTGCTGTTCTCTCCAGGAAAGCTTCTCTGTTTTGGCATAGAAGTGGATCTGGCCTAACCACATGTGCTTTTTCATGTGCCTGTGCTATTAAGCCCTCTTGGAACTGGTGCTTCTGGGAAGTGCTGTTCACTGACAGGCAGCTAGGTTCTGGCTGAGTTTATTAATTCTAGTTTGTTGCTCTCCCTGATGACTCGAACTGACTCTTTTTGAGCTCTCTTTGGTCTTTCTGCCCACAAGTCCTACTTTTAAGAGAACTTACTATACAACACATATGTTAATTGCACAATGCTGCATTGAATGTTGAGAGCTCCATGGAAGTAAATGTGAGGTACAAGTGCAGAAGTGGTTATTTTATGTGGAATTTGCTGGGATGCAGTCTGTGTAGCATTACTGATTCCATATGAAGATGTGCTGGCCCTCTGAATTGGTTCTCCAATGTCCCTTGGTCTGTGCTGTTCTGGATCAAAGCTAGCTAGTGAGTAGTGTAGCGGTATTCGCAGGATGTTGTGTCTAAGCTGTTAAACCACGTGTGAATCCAAACTATCTCTGCATCTGGGGCATGGATAATAAGCAAGCCAGATAATGAGACTGCTGATAACTGAGATCAAACATAGCCTATATAAATCCTTATTTTAACTTGAAATTGGATTGGAATTCCTTTTTTCCTAGATTGCTGTAGTATAGTATTGTAGCATTTGTGTACGGTCTAGTAGCTCATTAAGTAGTTTGATTAATACTTCATGTGGAATGTGATATGTTTTCTACTTTTCTGTGGAAGAAAAATCAATTGCACTTGCTGCATTCTGAATGATTACTAATGAGACTTGTGAGTATTCCCAAACCACTGGCTGAACAGACTCATCAATTGTGAGGAAACTGCAGAGCATCAGGGATGTAGCCACAATGCCGTCTGCTGTCCACCAGCTATCATGTTTTGTACCATGTGTTCACCTTTTCCAGCTTCATATGTGAGCTCATCTTTTCTTTGCAGCAGGCCATCTGTGTGATAGGATTGTAGTTGTATGCAGGTGAGGAGAGGAGGGGCTTTGTACAGTGCTGTATGATCTGCTCATACTGTGGGTTTCAGGCAGATTCTGAAACAGAAATGACAAATGTCTGCTTCTCACTTGAGAAGCGTACATGAGAGTTCACATTCGTATCATGGAGTATGTCTTTTCAAGACATATGGAAGTTGTCGTAGAGAGTTATATACCATTTACTAGAGAATTTCAAACTCACCTTCAGCAGGACTATGGTATCTTCATTGCTGCATTGTTTAAAAACTGCCAAAAATTAAAAGATGCTGAGGACAGAGGTTGAGTGCTACTAAATTTTTTGTAATTCTCATGTCTTGATTTGATTTCAGTTTGTGCAAGGCTTTCATCAGTGTGTATCCTCCAATTGCTTTGGTGCAGACCATCATTCTGCACTCTTAATTTCTGCACACAGTAATGATGATGACCTGCCCAGTCATCAGAGCTCTTGGATTTTAGCTCTGACTTGCTTCCTGCTTGCATAAGCAACAGGTCTCAGAGTCGGTTTTTCAGATGTTTGGTTCATGGACCAGTAAGATTATTTTGGGCAACTGTTTTGTGTTTTTAAAAATGATATTGCTAGCTGTTGTGAAAGAAAAAAAAAATCAGTGTTTTTTTTGTTGTTTGTTTGGTTTTTTTGTGAAGAGGAAGGTATGTGGGGTTTATTATTTTAATTTTTATTTTTTGTGCATATTTAAGTGTTGATATACCTCATTGTCATGCTATTCTGCAAAGAGGGATGGATTCATTAGCCTGTCAGGATTTTTTTATAATCTATGCCTCTTGTTTTAAGACAAGTTTCTTCTTTCTTTGTGTATTTCCAGCACTTGCAAAACCATTTCTTGAAGCTCTTGAATGAATGAATCATAGCTTTCTTTCATTGTTTTCTTTACCTGCAGTTGACATCTGGCATTCTTAGGCTGTTTTGTTGCTACTGTTTTCCCTAGTACAAGAGAATTCCTCAGTTCCAAAGGCTGCGTGTTTCTTTTCCAAGAACCAGGATGCAGAGACAACTTAAAACCAAGTTATTTAGTAGTAACGATAATTTTTCAGACGTGGCATCTGTAGGTATTCATATCTCTCTGCCACAGCTTAATTGAAAAAACTTTGGTGTAAATAGATAGCTTTTATCGTGACAAACAAGCGAGCTTGCCTGTGGAACTCAATTTGCTCAAGGAGTTACTATAAATCATAGTGGCAAAATAACATGCTTCTGATATAAACTACATTTGCATTAGGAAGGCTTCTTAGTATGTTTAAACCAGTGTTTGGGAGGATTCCATCAGTCACTTCCTCTTGATGTCTTCATGAACAGAAAGACCTTTGGGAGAGTGAAGTTCTTAAGTAGAAAGGATTGAATGGTCCTAAGATGACCAGTAACTTGCTGGAAAAATCATGCAGTGTAGTGACAGAGATGCTGTGTTCTCAAGTGCGAATGTGTAGAGGTGATGCATTCAAAGAATGAAGAATGGTAGATAATAGCAGCTGATTTAATTTTTCCTGTAGAATTAATGGCACTGAGTGAATGATTATGCCATGATTATACATTCACGTTGTGTTTTTTTTGGAGGGGGATAAAGCATTTGTTTTAATGACTGAGGGGAAGCTGGGTTCAATGAAATGCACATACAGTATCGAATTGCTTCTAGCAATCATTTTGCTGCTGAATCTCATTTTTTAAATGTGGGTAGCTGAAAATGTTTGGGATATTTTTCCATTTAAATGGTTGATTAAAGGGATAGCAGAATTCACATCAGTCATTCTGGTCTATGTGCAAGTGCTGTTTTGTCTGTTTAATTCTAACTAAAAGTGGTTTTGAGGGACATTTAAACTACATACAAAATATTAAACGTAATTTTTACTAGATCTAACTGTAGAGCCTTTGGAATTACTCAGATTGGTTGTGTCTGTATAATATGAAATCCGTCTCTGATACTATTTCATAGGATTAAAGGGAACATAAACTCTTATGGCTTGCTATATTTTATTATAGGGACTGATTATTTTTTTTTTAATTGCATTTCCAATCTACTCGATTGTAAATAAGCTAAGAAGGTAATTTTTAAATATGAGGTGTCAGGAAGACATTTAAAAATCTGCATCTTGGTTCCTGATGATTTTTCTTGATTTGCTCTTTAGATTAATTTTTTGCCACAGTGAAATTCCCTCAGTCTTTAGCTTTGAAGTCTGTAGTTTCGAAGGTCATGACTCAAATGAATGTCTGAAGTATGTCTCTATACTGACCATGCTGAAGGAGAAAACAGAAGCTGCTTACTGTACTGGGGGTAAAAAAAGTTGTTTGTCAGTATGGCTTTGTATTACCTCTTCTTTGGATTCTTGGAGACATTGAGGGATATCTGTTGCCTACTAAAGCTTGAACTGGAAGATTCTGTGTGTGTGTTTGTGTATTCTGTGTGTGTGTGTTTGTGTCCTAGAAGATTACAGTTATTGTTACAGAAATTATCTATTTGGGATTTTTTTAATTTTATTTTTTTCCCTGTAGATTTGTTTATTTCATATTATTTCTGCTTTTATCTGAAAAAAATTAATTAAGTATCTTTTCTTCCCCCTTTGCATACAGCTTGTAACAGAACATGCCTTTGAAATTCCAGACAACATTAGGCCTGGGCATCTCATCAAAGAGCTTTCTAAAGTGATTCGTTCTGTAGAGGTAAGAACAGAGGCAATGTACATAAACTTGCAGAAAAAAAATGATCTTGGAATCAGGGAAGTCCATAGTAGCTGTGCTTCTGATTGACTATATTCAGGTTTTAATTTATTAAACGTTCATTTAATAATAGAATATCAATAGGAAAACTACTTGGAATACTAAACTATGGGTATTTCAGATAAAGAAAATGTATAGTGAATGTTTTTGTGTTTTTTTTTTTTTTTTTAATTTTTAAATTTTAATGGTGAAATTATTTGTAGTTCAGTATTTCTAAAATATTTTCACTTATAAATACTTAAAATAATTACTGTTAATTTGAAATTCTGTGCATATTCCCACTTGTTTGTTAGTTTTTACTCCCTCGTGTTTTGTGGCTGTTTGTTAAATAGTCTGTGGGTGTGTGTGTCTTTTCCCTTCGTTTTATTTTTGAGTGCTTATACATACCAGTGTTTTGCTCCTTTATTCCTTAATGAATATTGATTATGGAAAATTCTCACATTTGTATGCGGAGAGAACCGATCTGAGTTGTGACCTGTTGTGTACAATGCTGCCCGAACAAAACCCTGTGTTTTGGTGGTAGCTTTTGGTGTTAAGCATCACTATTATGGAATAGCAGAAAAGCCTCAAATGGGAAAGAAGTGCAATATATCTAAGCTTTGTTCATCAAATCCAAGTGAAATATGTACTATTCCTCTAAAAGGTCTAATAATTTTATTTGTATAACTTATATTGAATTAGATGAATTTATTAGTGGATTTATTTCTCTGAGACTATTTGGAAATGTGTTTTTAATTACAGGAGGAAAACAGCAAACTAGTTAAAACTCAGGGAATTCTTGGTGTGTCTCCAACGTCACGATCTTCACATGAAACAGCTTCCCCTCACCACTCCAGACGAAGGGTGAGGAAGCTGCGAGACCACGCTACCAAAACTCCTTCTAATCTGGACATCCTGGAACTCCACACTAGGGAGGTACTGAAAAGGCTGGAGATGTCACCATGGGAGGAGGCAAGTATTAAACTTTGTGCAAGAAAAACAGAACTAGAGTAGGTTTCTAACATCTGTTAAAGAAGAATCACTTTTAAGACGCATAAGAATATGGACTATGACTCTTTGTCTTATGAGACATGGATAGATTTGGATTTGACTTCTTTTGAGTTTTTCTGATACAAATATCTCTTTTCCATGATAATTTTTTGGTGGATGTTCCTTCAAAATTTTGGTTCAGAAGGTACCCTGAATCCAGTACCTACTTCAAGTATAGTTTTTGAATTAGGTCTGCTGTAGCTGTCAAGTGCTACTTTGAATCAATTATCTGAGGAAAAGGGAGCTTGCAAAGCCTTGATTTGGTGAGGCTCTGAGCCAACCTGCTTCTCTGTGTTTTTACATAGCTGTTTCTAATAGTTCTGTATAGTTCTTATAGTTACTGTAATTTGGTTATCCTTGTTTTTTTGTCACATTCCAATTTCCTGTATGACAGTGCCTCCCTACCAATAACCCTCAGGATGCCTTTGGTCTCTATAGTGGGGCCATGGGCTTTGTGACTGTATTACAGAGATGTCATGGAGCAAATCAGTGAAAAGTACTCTCTTGAAAAATACCTTTTTTTTAGGTTTGATGACATTATTTCAAAGAACATAAGCAAAAGTGGAAGAAGGACTAAGAGAAGGGAAATAAGTAGCATTTCTGAGTATAAATGCTGACAAATTTAGTTGGGACAGGATGGACTGTCATAGTGGAGAAATACTGATTTGGGTCCTTAGGTTGGTCTTCATAAGGTATGGAACAAGAGACATTCACTTTAGCCCCTGAAGACAGGAAGCTGAATTTAAAATTTGCCACAGATAGTTAATGCATGCAGTTCCTTGCTGCAAACATGTTTAGGAGAATTAGACATTGTTATTCAGTGTAGAAATATAATGCTCACTATCAGTACAGGCTTCTTAAAAAACATTATTTTACATGTTCCTGGTTTGGGGCATAACTGCACTGCTGATTGCTTCAGAGTATATTTACATATATCAAATGTAAATTGCTTTGAGCTAAGAAAGTTCTGCTTATAGCAGCTTACTTTCCATTACTGGTGTTTTACTGTCCTCTAAATTAATTCTGATATACTAATTTCAGGGACCAGATACCCAATCCTGGAGCTACCATATCAGTTCCAAGCACAGCTTTTGGTTTGCCCATCTCTACTGGTATTTCTCCGAAGGAAACATGACAGGAAAGTTGTAGTTGTTTCAGATGCTTCAGGAGAGTAAAGGTGATTCAAGGAAGGAGAAGGTGCAGTCACTTTTTACATCCAAATTTTTTTTTTAGCTTACTGCAGTTGGTTATTCAGGTGGTAACCATCCTAGTGCTGAGTTTAATCTTTTATAGAGTGCAGAAAAAAAAATAATTTATAGGAATAAATAATAAACAACATTACATTTACTTTTTTTAGGATACCGCAAGCTCAAAACTGAATGGGAGATTTAACAAGCCCTTTCAGCCGTCTTCTACAGTACCTGAGTGGCGAACAAAAGACAATGATCTTCGCCTTCTGCTGTCAAATGGAAGAATAATTAGGTATAAAGGATTGGTTGTGGATCACTTTTTTGTAGTCATTATGGTCTGGAGTATACTAATTGTTAGTAACATTTTTATTTGTGGAGCTCTGAATTGTTTTTACCAGTAAGATTCATATTAGGAGGATAGAAGGAATGTCTGTGTCTGCTGTCCCCTAGTGGGGCAATGCTTAAGGAGTGAAGAGGAGGGGATTCTTTGCAGGTTCCTTTGTTAGAGCATTTCATTCAGATGCTCGATTTGGTTTGTACTGAAGGGAATGCCTCAAAGTAGAAACAGCTTTTTGTATCCATCTATCAGAGCCATTCTCTTTAAAAGTATTCTGATATTAAACTTCATATCTTTATGGAAATAATAGTTGTACAGGAAGTAAAATGGCAATAAGTACAATTTTGAATGAAGAAATGAGCATAAGAGGATATTACTGTTCTTTTGTACTGTTGTATCTCAAGAGTTATGTTGTAAATAAGGAAAGGAAAACAATTGCTTCAGGTTTCCAAGATTAATATGACTTTTTTTTTACTTGTGAGACAGAGATGAGAGGCGTCCATTTACAGATCGAAGTCTTTACACAGCAGATAGTGAAGATGAAGACGACAGGACAAGGTCGAAAAAGACGACTGTTAAGGTAGAAGACCAGCCCTCAGGATGTGAAGGAGAAGGGAATGCAGATGCCCAGAAACCACTGAACAGTAAGATTGTCTCTTAATTCCCATCAGTTGAACATTCTGATGATCTCGAAAGGAGTCTAATGACTGTTGGTCAGTCTGACTGAAATTTTACCGAAATGTAAAGAGGACAAAGTAATAAATCAGAGGAGTATTACTACAAGTTACACAAAACACTTGTCAAATACTATTTGTCTACTGCAGAAGCCAACAGGATAGAAATGAAAAGTAAAACTCACTTTTTTTGTTAGTGCCATCTTGAATGCTACATACAGCATTTTTCAGAGTGGACTTTTGGTTGGTGTTCTAGATGAGTATTTATTACTTTTGGTCTGTTTCATAATGTAAGACTGCTGATTTTTTTTTTTTTTACCCAAATACACTTCAGTATGAAAAGCTCATCACATCATTCCGTGTACAGAATGAAGGATAACACAAAGCTAATTTTAAAGCTGTCTTATATTTCACTTTTTTTGCTCCATTTCATTATTACCTACTTGATTATACAATTTTGTACGTTTTGATAATGGGTAGGTTTATTGCATACAAGCGATAAGACATAACTTAGCATTAATAAAATCTTATACTTTCAGCCTTTGCAAGACTGGGAAAGAATTGAGGTTATTTGTAAAACACTTTAACCCCGCTTTTCAGTGCTTTAAACCATCCTTCACTAGGAATTAATCTTTTTTGGTCTTTCTGTAGCCTGAAGCCTTCCTGCCAAGTGTTCAGCAGTGATGATCATGCAGTGTATTAGTAAAGTATCAATATTGAATGCCTGTTGTCAGTGCCTATTTTTAATCGTACACTCTGTGTGCAGTGACAAATTGGTCCTTGACATTCAGTTCAGCTCTCTGTTTCATTATGAAAGTCACATCCTTCCACAGTAGAGCTTACAAAGGGTATGTTCTAGGAAACTGAAGTCAACACATAGAGATAATAAGACTCCTCTAGAGACTCACAGTTCCCTGAGTTTCCTGCACAACAGTTCATAACAATATTTGAGTCCACTGTCAGCCTGCATAAAATATTTAATTATTTTCATTAACAAAGCAAATTTTAATCCCTCTTTACTGCGCTTCCAAATGTTGCAGAGGACAGTATTAAGAAACCTGCACATGAAAGATCTCTCTTGGGTACTCATGAAATAACAAGGCAAACAGCTTGTTGTGTGAGGCTTACTCTGGTGTTTTTTCACTTCCAAAATCAAATTAAGTAAATTAAAGTAAGTTTCGCACTTGAATCAAAGATTAAATCATACAGAGAAATGGCAAATTTTCTTCAAAGTTGCTGCTCTTATTTGATACAGAATGAATATGGCAGTGGGTATCCAAATGCATTAAATATACTTGGAACTAGAGGTGAATGTTGAGCTTGTTCTTCCAGCAGTTGAGTACTCAGGACTATCACTAATATTTTTAATTGAAGATTGAGAGTCTTTGAACTTCCCTATTAAAGATTACCTGTGTTTGATTATTTTACCATAACTGAGAGTCTGAAGAGAAAGAAGGGGGGAAGGTATTGTCTGCAGAGAATTCCATAAAAGGAACTACCTGTTTCTATAACAGCTTCCGACTTCCATTGTTCTCACTGGGATTAAGACCAAGAGGCACTGTCTACAGACAGATGCCTTTAAACAGATCAAGCTCTGCAAAGATTTGTGTGTCATGCCAAGATCCTAGCTTTAAATGGTGACCCACTGTTTTCAGGGAGACAAAGATCAAGTGCTGTGCTTAAAAGAGCAAGATACTTTGTGTGGATGAAGGGAAGGTGATTTAAGATGTTTTTTAAATTCACAGTAGCCTGATCTTAGAGATAATGACTCCTGTCATTCACCTGATTTCTGGAGTACTCCTCCCAGTCTCTGGAAGCATAAAGAGCCATAACTTTTCTTGGAAAAGGCAGTAGTCTAAAGGAAAATTCTTTAAACTATAAAATGATGTTTTCTGTATCACGCATGCTGTTGCTTATCCTAGAATTTGCCTTTTCGAAATGGCTTGAGTTATCATCAGCAATTCCTTGAGTTGTTTTAAGATGCAGTAATTTAAAATATTAATTTTATTGTCATATGGTAAGCATTACTTTATTTAGCTTAACTACATATGTTATAGTGTTGCTCATTTAGTGTGCTTAGATATTCCTCTTTCTAACACTTTCTGAAGTTTTAATTAGTCTCCTCTAGCTTTTGGTACCAGCTGTTCATTTTATTCACTTTCTGATAACAAGTCGCATGTTTAGCTTTTTTCTGGCTCTAAAAATAATTACCATTATGCAGTGTTTAGAAATTAATAATACCCTTGAAATATATTGGATGCCTATTTGTGAGCTTTGCCAGTTTTCAATAGGAGCAAAACCCTATCAGAATTGCAGTTTTTATATGATTACAGATACATCCTCTATTGCACAATTAGAGTTAGGAAGAATCATGTGTTGTTTATGTAGTTTCATGTAAAACTATGCCGAAAGCAAACCAACATTTCAACTTTACTTATGTTCATTCATTCAGCACAGTTTTGTATGAAACTGTAAGTACTTGAAAAGTGATGTTGCTTTCTTTAGCTACTACTTTCTTGACATATATTCATAATTTTTTTAATTCTATTTGGCTTATCTCCAAAAAACTTCTGCTACTTAAACTGCATGTTGTCATCTTCAGCAAATTTGTACTTAATCAAGATTTTTGCCGGCATCCCTGACACAGGTACACATACAGCTCACTGACCTCGAGCCGTGGATTCCAAACACTTAGAAATGTGTTTCCTACTTGTGGTTCTGTGAGACATATGCTGTCTTTTAAGCGTACAGGCTTATGAGAACTGCTCAGCTGCTTCATGTTTGAGTTCTTTCAGCACTTACAGTAAACCATGTGGACTAGTTAGCTGCTTTGATTGATTGCTTTGTCACATGCAAGTGTTTGTGATGTCTATTTTGACACCTTCTCTTATTAGTTCTTTACCTTACTACTATCAAAAAGCATGTCTAAGGTTGGTATTTCCTCATCTTCCTTTTCAGGTCGTTCTGTGATGAAAACAATGCAAGTATCATCACAGTAATACTTTAATATTTAACAGGTCTTCATTTTAACCCTGATTGGCAGCTCTGTAGTAGCACAAAAGAAGCAGAATATGCCAGTCAATTGTGACATGGAAGTAAAATTGCAAGTAATGCAATTTTTTAACCTTTAAATCACGTAATATCCTTTGCCTTCCATGTTTAGTGTCTCTTTATAGCTGCTTTGGTTTTTAAACAAGGAAATTCCAGGTTCAGAGACTCTAAGGCAAAGTAAAATTGAACATTATTTCTGATTTTTTTTTGAGAGCCACTTCTCTGACTCTACCCTGTACAGAAAAGCAGAAATTGCCCAAGGTGCCACCTGTATAGTATGTGCTCTATGGGAGAGAAAAAAAATGTATACTTTTGCTGCACCTGATACATATTCTTGTCTTCATCCAGTCAATTGCTTGAGGAGTCTATTGGTCAGCAGTAGGCAATTCATTATATTTCTAAGCAGAATTGACTTGTGAACCAGATCAGTGTGTGGATGTGCTTTTGTTTACAGACTGTTAAAAACTAAATATGTGTTTCTTGGTTTTTACTTCCAAAATAATAGTTACATATTATATGTAATAAATGTTGGGTCTTATATTTTAATTTTTCTCTCTGCAGTGTTCTTTGAAAGCGTGAAATCAGAACTCAGGAATGGATCCTCAGAGTACTCTGATATTTCCGATTCAGAAGAATCTGAGCCTGATTGCACTACACAGGTATAGCTAGAAAAAAAGTCACAAAAGTTAATGAAGCAATTAAATACAATTTTACTCACACATTTCAAATTTGCATGGACAAAGTCTGTGTTAAAACCGCAATAACAAAGTAGTTAGTTGTCCTTCAAGTTAATATGTCAGACTTAATGTTCTGCCTCATTCTTCATTTATTCTAGTATTGAGAAAAAGTATAAGATATGCTATCTTGAGCCAAATTTTATGATCTCCATTGTCATTGAAGTGGGGCTGACAGAGGATGAGCAGTCTGAGAAATGTTAGAACTTAGTTGCTTTGTTTATTTATTTTTTAAAAAGTCTAAATTGTATCTTCTGAATTATGAGTATCTACCACAAAAGTTTCATTTTAGTACATAATCAGTTGGAAACAATCTTAGTTTTTTTAAATAAGCTGAAATGACTAAATCCTGCTCAGGTATTTTAGACTACTGGAAGTAAATGGGAATCCTCCATTTGAGTGTCTAGATTGTAGTGATTTCCTTAGAACTAAATGAAAAATAAATGCAAACACATGCATATTTGCAAGCATATATTTTAATACAACTTCCAGTATTTAGAAATGTGCATATGCATATATAAATATTGTAATTATTTTTCTCATTTGCAAATTGTGCTCTGACTTACTAATTTCAGCATTAGGGTGGAGTGATTACCTTGGATTTTTGTTTTATGCTTCTGGAAAGCTAATGCTTTAGTCTTTCATTCAATTTTCAACCTATTATTTAGACTTTACATGAAGTCTTCAAATTCCTGCTTTTTTCATAGTAGTCAAGATCTTTTTTTGATATTTGTTGTCTTTCATGATTACTTTATCTAGATGTTGGAATAAGTGATAGGAATCTTCACAATGTGGCTTCTTCTGGTTTAACTGCATTGTCAGCAACTTTGGCTCAGCAGGTTTCCTTTTCTAAGACGCAGAATCATTAATTACTCAAAAGTGATATATCTCATCTTCACAGGAGAATGTAACCAGTTTTGTATGACTTTGTAAATGAGTGAATGTTTTATATTAATGCTATTTACTCTCTTAGTTCTTCCCATACTCTTCTGCTTTTAAGTTTGGAATATCTAATGGAATAATATTTTTGCATATTTAAATTTGTCTTTTGTAATGACATATCCAAAATGAACTCTCTCATTAGCTCCTGTAAATCCTTTAATGTTGTTACATTGTGCTGAATATGATCTTAACAAAACAATGCCTTTATTACTAACATTGAATCATAGTTATAATTTAATTGCCCATTTGTGTCACTTTCTGAGTGTCGAAGATTAGCAAGCTGCTATTGCGAATGAAACTATTGTATAAAAATATCCCTTGGTGATGCAATGCACTTAATTCATTCCGGTTCCATTTTTGATGATAGGGATAGTGATGTCAGTCTTGAAGGATCAGAACATATCCATGTTCTGATCTTCCACTTTCAACACTTTTTAATTGAGTGTAATGCATATTCCTTGGCTTGAAAAAAACATTGCGATGTTCTCTGTACTTGTTGAAAATAGATTAGTCTGAATTACCAAGATGGAACATATGTATGGTAGCCCTTGCTTCATGTAAAGGCATATTGAGTCACATATGGTTGCTCCACCTTTGAGAAGCTCCTGCCCATACAAGCTGTAATCTCAGCAGGAGCTGAAAAGCTCTTTCATTCATGAAATGAGGCTGTGCCACTGTAAGAGAGACAACAGCTGTTGTGTCTCTTCCTGCTGTGCTCTGGATTTACCTGAGAGCTTCTGTCATTCATTAGGGAGATGGTGCTGCTGCAAGTTATATTTTGTGAGAGCAGGAACCAGAAGCAGTTACTTGGGGCAGAATTATATATAATTATATGTAATTTGCATCAGTTCTGGCTGCTGCTTGGAACCACACTTCTGGGTTTTTTGCCTCTACCTTGAATTAGTGCTCTCTTGAAAGAATACAGTGATTTGTGTATGGTTTAATATGTGTGGTGGTTTGTAAGAACATCGATTTTTGGAAATGCTTTTAATACTTGCTGGACCATGTCCTCACCAGTATTACAAAATTTGGATGTATATAGCATCTCAGTTGTTATATTCAAATCAACTGCATTCTGAATACTATATATGTGAAAAAGTTAGACCTGAAAGCTTTTGAATTATTCACTTAGCATAAATTAAGATAGTGTCTCCATTTAGGAGGTCTGGTGACCGTTCTGCATTCTGTTCCCTCGTTTCAGCAGAAGGATTCTTCCACAGAGGAGTCAGAAAGCTCAGGTGATGAAGAGAAGCAGGAAGTAACATCAAATTTCAAAGAGGAATCTAAGGTCATGAGAGACCTTTGTCAAAATACCCAGAAGCCATCCAGAAATGAAACTCCCAGTAAAAAGTAAGCACATTGTTGGCATTTTTTATGAACTGTCAGGCCTTTTCACATGTATTTATTGTTCTACCTTGTACTGGGGTAAAAACCAGTCCTTCAGAGGGTTCTGTTTTGAACTGCTTACTACTCCTTTATTTTTCTAGGGAATGTCCTACCTCGACAAGTACAGAAGAAGAAGCTATTCAGGGCATGCTTTCTATGGCAGGATTGCACTATACTACATGTTTACCAGGTCATACTCAAAGCACAGACTGCACAAATAAAAGAACCTCCCTTCAGGAACACAGAAGCTACGCCAGGAGTCGGCATAAAGACAGACAGCCATCTCAGAGCCACAAAACAGTAGAATGTGGTAGGTATCTGAACTAATGACACTCCAAAAGCTCTCTGCTTTTGGACAGAGTGCTCAGAATAAGCACTTAAATTTACATTTTTAGATTTGCAGTCTTTACATTAGTAGTTTTTAATCAGACTGCCAATTAAAGCTGTGTTCTTTGGTTTTGTTTTGTTGTTGTTTTTTTTTCTATTAAAGTAAATGTTACTTCTGAACCCTGGGATAAACTTAACTTGTCATCAGAATACCCCTTCAAAATATTTCCGTCTAAAAGTTTTGCAGCATCCTTATAAGAGGGCAAAATTGTGGCTAGACAGAAAATGTAATCTTTTTCAGAAAAGACAGAACCTTCATGGTTGCAGCTTTCATGACAAGTGTGTTGCTTAGATATCCATAGGAATCTGCTTGGTGATTTTTCATGTGTCTTTGGAAGGCATATTTGGCTTTAATCCTGAAATTCTGCTATGAATACAGTGCATTAAAAGAGGGGAATTCAGAGGTCATTTTTTTTTGTCAGTGGCATTTTTTTGTCTGTAGAAAGCAGACATCTGTTAAATGCATTTTGGGAATGCAAGACAGGAGAACATTAACACTAATCCCCTCAAAGGAATAAAAATCACTTATTGGAACAGAGAGAAAGTCATCATGTGTGAACATCCTTTGCTTGAGGGAGAAATGGAAGAGGATTATAGCTTTGCTGATGTGAAACAAATAGAACCCTTCCAACAAACACGGTGCTTATTCAAAGAACTGATAGTATGTTGATATTTGTTTACATGGACAACAGGAAAGCCAAATGTGATGTCATGGGCTGTGTTCTGGTAGCTGAAGCTGTAGGTCATTCAAACCCACCAAATAAACAAACAAACAAATAAATAAAGAAACCCACAACCAGTAGAAAAATCCCCCAAACCTAACCAGCAAACCACACAGACACATACAGTGTCTGTCCACCTTTGTAACTTCAAAGTCATAAGGTTCAGCTTTCCAGATTGTGGTGGTTTGACTCAGGCCAGCAGCTAAGCACTCACACAGCCTTTTGTTCTCCTGTCCACCGCTCTGGAATGGGGAAGGGAGTAGAAATAGCCAAGGTGATAATATTAATGGGTTGATATAAAGGCAATTTAGTAAATGGAGAAAGGAGAAAAGAAACAAGTGGTGTAAAGGCTATCACTCACTACCTTCTTCAAGCAAACTGATGCCCAGTTAATCTCTGGGCAGGGGCTGCCTTCGACTGCCTTTCCTCTGACATCTTCCTCTAACCTGGTTGTTATTGCCAAGCATGACATTCTATGTCTAGTCTGTGGTATGGAATATCCCTTTGGCCAATACAGGTCTGCTGTCCCTGCTGTGTCCCTTCCCAGTCTCTTGCCTACTCCTACCTTACTTATTGCAGTGAGCAGAGGAGCAAAAGAGAAAGTTGTGACACATGACTATTGGGAGTGTTAGGAAAAAAATATGTTCCAGCCAGACCCAGTACATGTGTCAAACTACACAGGTGAAGATGAAACTGTGCTTGTTAGCTAGCAGGTTTCATAAAACCTTTCACTCTCTACAAATGCAAATTGAATCGGTGTCTTGGGATACCCTAATTTTACAAGTTAACTGTATTGTAAATGTATTTTCAATGCAGACACTTTTTCTATGGGCCCATGAGCACAGTTCTTCCTTATATTGCACCTGAATAGCACATCGGTGCTTAGAAATAGTACAGTCAATAATACCTGAAAATGAAATGTCCATCTTTCTATGAGCTTCTCATGATACAAAGCCATGGTAGAAAACTGCAGTGTAACAAAGAAAGTGAACTGTCTTCAACATCAATTCTTTGAAATGTGAAAGATTATATTTAACCTTATTACTGTGGTGTATTGATCCTTAATTAGGTTTACTTATGCTGTGAGATTGTTTTCCCAATTTAGTGTGTAGAACCAAGCAGCTCTAAATTTTAATTTATACTCAGGAAATATTTTCCATTGTGTTTTCCTTTTTTCTTGTTTTTAAAGTCACTCGAATGTATAATTATCTTTGTATTCGTAGTTATTGATTTTAAAATTTAGGCTTGTTGAACTTTTTAGGTAGGTCTGTGAAGGAAGAGGAAAGAGACTTGGGAACTTCAGCATGGACTAGACACCTAAACGAAGCTTCGAGGATTACCCCTCAGGTAAAGCAGTGCTTTAAACATTTTGAACACGTTTTTATAAGAGAAAAGATCATGAAGGTGTAAGTACAGAAGGCATGGTAGACATGTCTTTCCACGCTGCGTATCTGATGATAGATACTTCTGGTTCTGGTAGCTGGGTATTATATTTTTGCCATGCTTTTTTTCACTGTTTAAGTTTTTTTGCTTTCAAATTCTCTTCTCTCATATTGGCTAGTATGAAGGTGTTTATGGCAGTATCTTGAAAAATCAAAAATACTTTATTCAAAAAGTGTGAATTTACATTCAGTCTAACTGGGGAAACACTTTGTTTTATTATTCCCAACCAGGTGGAATATGTTGATAGTATTCATAATAAAGATACTTGCTTAGGAAATTAGTACTGCCAAATTGATACAACCTTTCAACAGCCAACAAGGAATATTCTTGTTTTCTGATATCCAGATGGAATCCAGCAAGGAATGATAGGTTGTGTGTCTGACACTTTGAACTTTTTTAGTATTTCTAAGCTTGTCTGTATTAGAAGTATTAGATTGATAATTAAATAGAACAATTAAAGTTGCAAATTTACAGCCGTTAAATAGCACTGTTTTTTAACTGCATGTTTTGTAGTGTTGGCTTGGTAAGATTATCTAACTACATGGTACTCCTTATAGTTTGTTATTCCCAATTTAGCATTTGTTGTCTTATCAGCTGAATATTGAAACCAAATTACCTATTTAAGTAGTCAGTGATTATGGTATAGCTTGTTGTAGTGGCTGGTTTAATCAAGAACAATTGCATTTGTTTTGGTCACTGCAAACTAAAACCAGAAAGCAGAGAAGTTGAGTACACTGGTATGTGTCATTAATCTGTAGCATTGCCCTTAAATGCATGTGGAAAAAATTGCAAAGAGACTATGTTGTATGTTATTTTTAAGAGGTGTCTATGATAGAATTGTAAAGTGGTCAAATACTAGTGGAACTGAAATATCTTTTTCAAAGACACAGATTAGAATTAGAAAAACTGGAGTGAACTTGCATCCAAAAGGTACTAACCTCTACATTTTTTTCTTCTCATTTCCATACTAGGATGCAAATAAAACTCAAAAATATATCAAGAAAGAGGGTACATCAGAAGCCAATTATAAGGTTCAGGAAAACAGAAGCATAGTCCACAACAACAGCTTGAGTTTTCAGCATGGCAAATACTCACGAGACTCCAGTCTAATTCAAGGAGAATGTCAGCTGAGTGATGGCAGCCTTAGCCCTGACAGGCCGTATGGTGAAACATCCTTTTCTGTACCACTTCATCCAACAAAGAGGCCAGCATCAAACCCACCCCCTATCAGCAACCAGGCAACAAAAGGTAATGCTTATCTTCATCCTCTTGTCAGAGTGGAGGGGGAAAAAAAGAAAAAGGCTAGGAAAAGGAGCTAGTAAACAAAGAGAGCTGTTAGATGCAGAAACTGAGTAAAGAACAGGATTAGACCTTGAGGAAAAATATGAAGTGAGCATACTTTGGACATTTAGATTTTGGCACAGAATGTGTGAAGGTGGAATTAGGACAGATCTAAGTGGCTGTGTGGCCACATGAAGCTTTCATAGTTAAAATTGCACAGGATGTTTCTTTTGCATTTATTGCAGGGAACAGACACAACTATTCTCTGAAACACTGACCTGAATCAGATTTCTTTATCAAAGTGAAGGTTTAAAAATTCTGACACTTCACGAATAGTCTGATGAGCATACTATTTAGTTTTCAGTTTCTAGTTTATATTCTATAACTTACTCAAGGGAATAACTTGTGTAAAATTCAGGAAGCTCAGTTTAATTTCTCCCGTACTCCACCCTACTGCCCATTACAGACTAGAAAGGGTTGTAAATAATATAATCATTTTATTTATGATAATGCTAGCCAGAGTTTAGAGAAAATGATTCCTGGTTATTTTTACAGTTCTGATTCCCTACTTGTTTGTTTTTGAAACTGTTTTGGGTGAGAATTTTGCCTGCTTCAGCTTGAACGCTGAGTTTCATCGCTAATCTACAACGATTAAAGCTTGTTCTAAAGTTCCTGATTGAAGCGCTCGATTTCATTTTTTTTCAGGCAAACGTCCAAAGAAAGGAATGGCAACTGCTAAACAGCGCCTTGGGAAGATCTTGAAGCTGAACCGGAATGGCCATGCACGCTTCTTTGTTTAATGTAGCTGCTACTTCTACTACTGCTGTCTTTCCTACACAGACCAGTATTGAGGTCGACAGAGCCTGGAGCTGCTGTTACTCCTCTGCTTGAAGCAGACTTGCATGTACCATCTAAAACACTGCCTGATGAACAAAAACGAGAAAGAAAAAAAGAAAAAAAAAAAAAAAAGAACACAAACCCAACCCAATGCTGCATTTTCACTGTGCCACACCTGCTCAGCAATAACCATACGGGAACGGGGAAATCTTCAGAGAGACATGGACTGTGAGAAATAGTCTCTCATCAGGGCTTGAATATCATTTGTTGCTGGTAGTTTCTGACCTAATTAATGAGGGGAAGATGATGAAGGTGGTTTATCAATAATTTATTTCTGATAGATTTTCACAACTTTTAAATTCATTTAAAAAACCTATTTATTTGGAAGACTTTTTCTGTGGGGGTTATTAATTTAGATTTAATAATGTGAAAGTTTTAAATTGTTTTGATAATGTGTGTTTGATGCAGTGGAGAGCCACATTAATTGTGATTAGTCTGGACTCCTAAATTTGATATTCAGGTTATAGTCTTAAATAGGGGTGAGATGCATTATTAATTATTTTTTAAATTAAGGCATATGGAATCTTATTTTTTTTTCCTGCTTTTTGTAAGCTATTGGCTGGGCTTCTGTTGACTTGCAAGTTGCATATTCTCTACAAGCTTGTTTATTTTTTGACCTGTCCTCTTTATTATCAGATTTATTTATTTAATGGACTAGAAGAGACTCCTAAAGACAGAAGAATCTTCTTATGTCAGTCCAGTAGCTAGCTTGTTTTAAACTGCACCTCTTTCCTCCAAATTTGAGTGCATACTTTTCCTCCTGATGATCTGTCTGTGATGATTTTCTTCTGTGAAAAAGGTGCCTGAAATTGTATTTGTACAAGTTATTTAAGAGTTGGTACAAAGGAGGAAAAGCCAATATATCTTTTTGGAGGAACGGGGACATCAGTTAGGATAAATGGTTCTTCAGAACAGTTACTCTGAAATAACTCATAAGATATACGTTGCAGTCATAAGATTTGGCATATTACTAAATGTAGCATGGAAGAAGCATTAAAATGTTATTATTGTACTTTAAACACATTTTACTGAAGAGTCAGGAAAGCAGGAGAATGTGTGTTGCTTTCAAAGCTGGGTGAGACAGCCAATTAAAAGTCTTAACTGGTGCATATATAAGCATTTAAGTAGCTTACTGGTATCAGAATGATCATTTGTGTCAGGCTTCTTACAGAGCTGATAACAAATGCCATTTCTGAATTATTGTAAATAATTTTGATTTAAAATTTGTATTTTTCTGTAATATAAAATTAAATATTTAACTTTTGAGGGACGGGGATGAAGGGGAATACCTTTACTTGATTCTGGAAAAAGGGCATTTTGCAGGGTCCAGCCAAAATGTAAATATTAATATGCTAATGACAACAATGTTGTTGGTTGGTTAGGGTTTTTTTTTGGTTACTAAGAGTAAAAATGCTCCTGTGCCACTGTCTAAGTCATGAAATTGATTTAACTTTTCACACTAGTTTTTCCTTCCTCCATATTCTATACTGGAATAATTTTCTCTTGTTGTAGTTTAAAAAGCAAACTCAGTTTTACTTTCCAGAGTATTTGTGTGGAGTTATTTTTATTTAGGCTAGATTATGAATGCCTGTAGAAATTTATGAAAATAGTTCTAATGTCAGGTGTTTTTAATTGTTGCAGGATCAAAACCAGTTAGCACTATCCTTTTTTCTAAATGGAGAAGCATCAAAATATAATGCAGTTGCAAGTAAGTCAGGTAGCTTTCATAGCTTTATTTTGTCTGGAGCTTGAAAATTATAGTTTAGAAGTGTTTTTTGCAGACCAACTTTTACATTATATTGACTTGACTTGTTTTGTGACTTGTATGGGCGTCTTTTTTTTTTGTTTGCTAATTAACGTTTCACAAAAGCATGTTTTCAGTCTTTTAAATTTTTTTATTCTTTTTTTAATTTAAAACAAGTTATCAACCTCTATAATATTGGGAATGGAGGTAACAAAGGATTTCTAAGAAGTAGAAGATAAGCTAAGAGGTACTCTAAGGGTGCTGAAAATTACTATATGGAGTTGGTGTTCTCAGGTGCTATGATTTTCAGATGGAAATAGTTAAAAGAGAATATTTTAACTATCTTCTAATATGTTCTCACCAAAGTCAGTCAAAGAAAGAAGCTGTGTTGTCAATATTAGTTAAAATTATATACCCATATAAATTTTCTCTATGTTTAAACTTGAGCAAATGCCTGCCAGGCTTTGGAAACTGTTTTAGCTTTAGCATATTGAACCAAACTGTTTCCCTCCTGCTAGCTGAATAATTTCTAATAATAGAAAATTCCAGTTTAGGGCAGCAATCAGATCCAAAGTGGAATGAAGAATGAGTTCTCTCTCCTTAAAGGCAGATTTTTATCTGAAGTAAAAGTATGCCAGAATAGAATCTGGAGTAAGGAATTTTAAAATACTGAGTATAGGTTCTTGTACATGTGACTGGCTTATACAAAGTCTCTTTTTTGACCATCCACATTATTTATCTGTACCTTACTGTTGGAACATAGATATGGCTGGACCCATATATATTATTTCTTCTTGGTTTTATTCTTTCTTTTACTCTACTTTCTACCTTTTTTTTTCTGAGTGGCTCTCCACTGTCATGAATTTATGTAATAGTCTATTCAGAGGCTGTCAACAGGCAGAGGTTCATTCGCATTTTCTTCAGATAATCTATGCTTCCAGCAGAAGTTAAATCTGATGTTCCACCTCAGAACAAGTAATTTAAGAGAAATTGCCATGATGAGCAGTATTAAAAAAAAGAAAAAAAAAAGAAGAAAAACAACAAACGGGGGGGGGAAAGAAGTCTCCTGGTAGCTTATGAAGAGGATGTGGTAACCTCACTTGTTTTGTGTACTTGTATGTAGAGATATTTTTATTGTATTCTAGATGAAATCACTGCTGCACCAATCTTTCTGTAGATGGACTGAACCTTGTGTTGTTATAGTGGAGACAAATACCCCAGTTTTCTTCCTTGCTGTCTCACTTGGGGTAGAAGAAGGAGGGAGTAGGGAACACTGACTGGATGACAGAGAATCAAGCCAGCTGTGGTAGTTCGTTTTCAAGGATAATCTTTTTTGAAAAGTCAGGGAACTTGAATTTGGCATAAATTTTTTTTTTTTTTGTAGACAGAACAATTGAAAATGAAATACTGTGGGGGTTTTCCCAGTCTCTTAAGTTCTCATGTTCCTGCAATTGAAAAAAACTCACAAAAACATGAAAATGGAAAGACCACCTAGAAACTATATCAAAGACTTCCAGCAACTTTCCCTTTTCTTCTCCTACTATACTTGCTAATAAACCCTGGCTACAGGGTAGCCTTTGTTGACCTCTGAGGTAGATTACCTATGCAACCTGTAAGACTCTACATTAATTCATTCTTAAAGAGAATTTTAGAAGGGTTAGATGTTGAGAGTTAAAATTGTTGTTTTCTGATCACATGGGAAGTTTTGGGGGTTTTGATTTTTATTTTTTTTGGTGGTTGAAGTGCTTGTGTTACCTTTGGTAGAGATGTAAGAGAGCACAGTGTCATTATCACATTTTACACGCTTCAGCTTTCCCTGGGCTTTGCTATAAGGCGTAAGCTACCTTCATTCACAAGGCCATTAAGTTGTAAATGATGAAAATTTTTGCAGGATTTCAAAGCCAGAGCTGATGAGAATCTTGCCTACCCCCTTTTTGGTAGTTGTGGAGACTAAGCAGAACTGAAGCTAGAATGACCCTGTAACTAGTGCCCTATTTAGGCTCCACATGCCCACCTATCCCTTCATGCTCCCACCATGACCCCAAATCTAGTGTCTTTCCAGAGCATCATTCATGTAATACTTCCAGACCATTAAAAGCTGTTTATAGCTCTGGGGTTGAGTGATCCCAGAGCTATTCTTTTACAGAAGAAATACAAATGGAACCGAGGGCCTTACTATTTGTCGTTAAACAAGATTAAAAGCTGCAACATCCATTTTTCCAAAAAAAAAACCCCAACAAAAAATAACCCTCTTTGTGGGAGTGTATGAGTGATAAGTCATGCAGTGGATGGGAAATAAAAGTAGCACTGATAAGGAAATGCTTGTTCTTCATAGGCTGCATTTCTGTTTGGAAAAAAAAAAAAAGACTTTTTCTACTTTTAATATAAATTAAGCCATAAGAGTTTCATGCTGTGGGAAGGGAATGAAAGGGATAACTTTAAGAGATTATATTGATATGTATTGTCATTTCTGCTGGGATATGTCTATTGCTGCCAATGCTTGGGTGATTTTTTTTTTTAAATATGGAATTTGAAAAAAAAAAAAAAGGGGCTAGTTCTTGGCTATATTTACTAGTTTTGTAGTAATGTTTTGCTGGCCCATTTGTCTTTTCCTCTCCTTTTTCTACTCTCATAGTCTAATTTCTATCTTTCCTTCTTAATGTTTCTGAAAATATTAGCTTGTCTGCTCAGTAGGGGTCGGTGTATGTGTGTCTTCCTTTTTACAGAAACGCACTACTGTGTTAAGTATTTGGCTGGGAAATGGGATGCTGCAGCTTTAAGAGCATTTTTTTCAATTCATAACAGTATTTCCCATCCTCTTTTGCCTGCAGGCAGGGAAAGTGTATGTACAGTATTTATTTTGTTTTGATTTTACTTTAAATTTGTAAGTTTCTATAAGTAGTTCACATTGATTATTCTAGGGGAAGATAAGTGGCTTTGTTTAAATTTGTATTTGATATTCCTAGTTTCCACTTTCTGTACTTTAAAATACTGAAATTAAAAAATTGTATTGCTTATGTTTTGATTTTAGCACTCTAAAGTGTTTAATTTCTTCAGACTTCTGCTTATTTGCTTCTGTGTAAATACAGTAAAATGTACAGAATATCGTGAGGAGAAAAACGCTTTTCTAGGTCCAGTCTCTGTGCCCTTTACTTGTCACAATTTAAAGAAGAAATTTTGTGGATAAATGTGAGGGAATAATCACATACTGTTTTCTAAAATTTATTCGAAGTGCAAATTTTCATTTCAATCCAAGTATATTATATGGCAACTGAATGCATTTTGTGAAAATGTGTATATTCTTTTTGAATCCTAATATAAAAAGGAGGTGGAAGTGTTTGTGATTCATCGTATTATCAAATCTAGATCTATAAGAAGGGTGTCAAATGGTAATTACATGTTTTTGCTCTTGGTTTTTGTTCAGGTTTGTCTCATGCTACTGATGACTGACTCATATCTTGATTTATTTTTTCTTTTGTTTTTTTTGTTCTTTTTCCTTTAAGTGTGTGCAGTTTCTGGAAGAAGAGCTTTCTCTTTTACACTTTCACGTGCTTAGATGTACTTGCTTTTATCCTGGATGACCTCTCTGCTGATTTCTCCTGCCACGTCATCTTCTGGTGTACAGTTGTCCGCGCTCCCTATTTTGACTCTGTATGGCAGTGGAGTGTTTGCATGTGGGTGCTCTACTCGGGGGTAATGGAAGCATTACTGTCTCACACTACAGCTTTGTGTAATGCATTTTCTTCTGCCCATAGTGCTCAGTGCTGCTGAACTGCTTCAGTGCTGTGATGATGCTTAGATTCCTGTGGTGGTCATTTTATGGGAGCCTGAGATAAACGGTGCGGCAACGGCATTGGAAGAACCAGTTGCCAAAAGGTGTTTGATGGGAGAACCCTGTTCAGCTGTTCAAGTTTCCTTTTTAGCTTGGCTTCTAATTTATAGGGAATTTAAGGCTGACTGTACAGACCAGGAGATGTGTTCATTGACCAGGACTGCATTGTGCCAACTGCTTTACAAAGGACGAGAATGCTGACTTAATCAAACCATGTACTGCTTAATGAAACAGTTTAAAAAACCCAACAAACTAGAAAGTTTTGTGGCCTAAAGTTTAAAACATGGTAGTGTTGTAGAGTTTAGGAGCAGAAACTTTTGTTCTTTTTCAAAAACAAATTTCATTTGAATGGAGTAAGAAATCCTGAGGAAAACTGATGAATCAAGTACGGGTGTTGAAGATGAAATATTTATATGTCCAGAAATCTGTTCCCATTGTATTTTGACATGTCTTTACATCTTTTAAATTAATGAATTAAAACTGATTTTAAATTTGGTTAGCCCAAGATTTGCCAAAGATCTGAAAGAGCTGTTTGTCTGTCAGAGCAACTATATATTTTGAAAAGATTTTAATCACTGTGATTGAAGAGCAATGCTACAAACTGTGCATATCCATCAGACAGACTCATCTGGATTTTTCAACACTGAACTCACTGCTCATACTAATGTTTTGGTCTTAAAGTGATAGACTTAAGAGAGCTCCTCAGTGGGCCACGAATACAAGTTTCATACCCATCTAAAAACCTACATCAGCACCTTTACTATTTATCCTTATGTTTTTTACCAGCTGCACTTCAGAGATTTTTTTCTGTGACTGCTGTTTAGAGACTAATAGGATAATACACTGGAAAACATGAAATATCTCAAGTGCTGCTTTAAATGCTACTGGATAGCCTTCAGCAGCTGGAGATGTATTTCCATTAAAAGTCAGAGTTTCTGGTTGTCTGCTTTTCTGTTTGTGGAGGATGGGAAATACTTACCTGGATTGTTCTTTCCTACGGGAAAGATGGATTTTAAAGATTTCAAGGCTACCAAATGTGACAAAAGAATTGAATTTCAAAAGTCAGGGAATGGACAAGATACTCCTCTTGGTATCTAAAGACTAAAGTTACTGGTTTTGGTTTTTAATCCACAGTATTCTATTGCATTTGATGTAAAGTACCCCCTTGTAAAGTGCCTACAGACTTGCTTTTCTATACATTTAGTGAAGTTCAACTCTAGAGAGTTTGTTCTGACCTCCTTAAGTTGTGAAGCTTTTGTGCTGGTGGTTCTTTAGTTAACACATTCAACCAAACCTTTTCTAGTTCGTTTTGTTCAGATGGAACTTTGGATTGATGATGGAAACCTGACTAACAGCATGAATATGGGAAAGTCAATCATGCAGAGTGTTGGTTTCTATAGAGACTTACTTTTTTTTATGTGTAGAAGTAATTGTCCTGGGAACCCTTGAAATTACTCTTTTAGTGCTGGTAAGTAATGCCAACTGTCTCAAGCCAAAAGTTAATGAGGACTGAAACTGTAAAACCAGGATGTTATTGTTCCTCCTTCTAACATGACCAGGATTGTTAAACACCTTTGTTTCTACAATGATCAATGACTAAAGTTTTTTACCTGCAGAAAAAACAGCTGGTGATCAAGACAGTGAATGCCAGAGCTCATAGTATTCCACCTAACAGCTGGCTACTGGGACAGTTTGCTTTGTCTAGAGTAAAATCTGAATTCTCTGAAGCCAATTATATTCAGTCTTTAGAATACTGCACATTTTTGAAGAACTGTGTTTGGCTTAATAGATCTATTTATCTGTACTGCTTCTGCTGTATTTGCTTTGGTCTTGGAAAAATACTCTACTTTGGAACGTATAAGCCAACTAAAAGAACAGTATACAAAGAGTTTGCTTGTTTGTGATGCTTTGCCCTGAAGTTTATTTCTCATAAGAAATGTTTTGCTGCAATGACTGTGAGTAAAGTTCCCACCCATGCTTGGAGAATGTGATTTGTATCTGGAAGAAACATCTACCCATGAATCCTACACCTTGGTGATAAGTCATAAAGATACAAGTTGGCTTTTTGTTCTGGTTAAGGCAAAAGTCAACAAAACTCTCATATAAACTGCAACTCTGGTGTCCTAAAATAGGATCTGGGCTGTGGAAATGTGGTTTAACTTGGCAGCAACTTCAGGCTAGTATTAATTTGAAGAAGATACTAAATCATGTGCTTCCTTTTTAAGTTGGTTTTTTTTTTTTGCTTTTTTACAAAAGGTCCTCAAATAGCTCCATTACAGGTCTGGCCCAATAAGGATTTTCCTGTACTTGACTAGCACTTGTAGAAATTGTTTTGAATTCCATCATGGAATGATTACTGAACAGAGCTGTTCCCATGTGTTGAAGTGCCTGTCCTCAAGAGGCAGCTGACCTCTGTTCCCACTGAGTAGCACCTATCAGAGGTGAGCATTCAAAGGGTATTTCCCATGCCTACTACCCTAAAAGTGGTGTCAAAACTGGGTGGCTCAGATGAGGTTCCTCATTGAGAGGAACCGTTTTGCTTCCAAGTCTGTCCATATTCATCTCAGGTCCACTGGGATGGGGGACAAAAATCTGCAGTGCACTGCTGCAAAATAGCTTGATCATATTGCAAAGACTGCTGGACAGCTGTGCCTGTTGTAAAATAAGTGTCACAAGTGAGGTTGAATTGCCATCATCTTAGGAGGGAGGCCAAGCATTAAATGGGACATGGCATGTGAAGGATCGCTTTCTCCCCAGGCTTTTGCAGCCACTCACAGAAAGGTATTACTGAGATGCTGTGGGAATATGTGAAAGCACTGTATAACATACCTCTTCTGGTGCTACAAGAAATTTATTTAGCCACTGTTTCTGTTGATGCATTTTCTTCAATATTAAGAGGGTTTCACTTAAAGAAGTTCAGTTTGTACAGAAAGCTAAAAGATATTTCATTTTACGTATCCCACAGTCTCCTTATGAGTGAGGTTTGTAAGGGGAAGTGATCTGTAGTAGAAAACCTGACATGTTTGAAGAGTGGGAATGAATGTGTACTGCTCATGGTTCACATGTAAGACATTTCCTCTCCACACAAATTTTATGTACTCACAATACAGGGCTGCTGCTATGCACTGGCTTCTTATAGACTGTTTTCAGTAATGTTGCCATTGGTTTTCTGTTGCCTCTTATCTCGGATAATTTTGAACAATATGAAATGTCAGCTACCAAACTCCCATAATATTATTATTATTGCCATAGCTATGATTTGAGGAATGTCTTTATTAATTCTTATATTGCACATTTCCATTGACAATGAAATAGAGCTGTCAATACTCTCAAAATACTTTATTTACATTCTTTTCCACTTGTTTGGGACATTCAGGCATTTCTAATTTTATTCTGCACTGATGCTAACTCTTACTATATTATGGAGTTCATGGCTTGAAGAAAAAGCTGAGTTATCATTCTGTGCCAAACTTGTGGTTCACTGAAAATGACTTTTAAAAGATTAGGAATGACATAAAAAGAAATCACTGATCTCTTAAATATTTTGTGGAGCCGGTACCTCCACTCATTAGATGAAGTACTAAAGCACAGGTTATAGTGTAACCTGAGATCCTAAAGATGCCCTATTGACCAATCAGATCAAAATGTACTTTGTGGTAGAGAACAGAAGGGAGGCCATATATATAAAATGAAGTAATCTTTCCTCAATTAGCTACAGGAATATTGAATTTTTCACTGTTGCACTTTCATGGAGGAGTTGCGTTGAATGGGCTTAATACTTGAAAGTCTAAGGGTGATATAAATTACTGCAAGTAATAGGGCCGAAATAGGGTTGATTTCTGGCTAGAACCACCATGGTTTTCCTTTTTAAAGGAATAATCTGCTTAGATTTGCACACCTTGGCTACCTTTAATTTCTAACCTGTTCAGATACTGATGGTGCATTTAATGATTTTGGTGTGGTCAGAATTAATGTCTCAGCTGATGTAGTGACGTATCTTTATATATGTAGCTGTGCTTCTAAGGCTTTTCAGGTGATGCTGTGGTTTGCTCTTTTGAGATCCTTGGTCAAAACTTAAGATAATTCACAACTCCCAGAACTTTACCTAGACTATTTTGGGAAGAAGGCAGGATGACCCTCTGCTGCCTGGGAGTTGCTTTCTCCTATGCAGGAATTTGTTTAGGGGGAAGGCTTTGGATTGTGCTGCTGTATCTTAGCCTTTGTTTTGCTAATATAAGGGCCTCTAGGGTGTACTGGTGAGGGAAGGGAGCAGCAGGGGCAGAGTAATTGGCCAGTCAGCAGATTATTCACACCCTGCCAGCCCATATGGTGAATAGCATGGAAGGGGTGGGACCCCAAAAGACACCCTGCTTTCCCCTGTGTGGGGGGGGTAAGAAACAGCCAGACTAAGGTCTGACCAGTCTCACCAGGCCATCCCAGAGGATGGCTCCCATCCTTAGGCACTGCCCACTGGGGACTGTGTCCAGAGGGGGAAGGTTTTTTTGGTGTTTTCCTGATTTGGTGACCGTCTCCTGCCCTTTGTGTGGATGTCAGGTTTGGAGAGGTTAAGCGTGTTTCTGTGGTAAAAGTGACAGAAAATAACATGGAGTTAGTTATCCAAGCTGGTACCTGGAATGGTGTGTGCAACCTCTGGGGGTCAGCTTGAGTTTTTTGTATTTTGAAGTAGTAGTTAAATCTTACTTTTCCATAGCCTTTCACTTACACTACTGACATAATAAGGAATGAACCTCTCCATTTTGCAATTTTGGAAAAGTTCTTTCTAAACCATTGCCATTTTGGTTATGTTTCATTCTTCCTTACCTTGAATGAAATTGCATGGAATGTAGCTTTGTCTAATGTTCCAGCCATCTAATAATGCAGCTTTGCCTGGAAAGCCAGGATAGCATTGAATCATCAGCATTTCAGTCACTGCAGTAACAGGATAGAAAGAGGTTGAATAGACACTTTTCATTTTCTATAAAAACATGTAAACCAAATATCTAAACCATGTGACCTCTTGGAGAATTGTTTAAGATTTCTGGATCCCTCTGCTTGAATTTCTTTATCAACTACCAAGAAGATTGGGCTATAATGGATCCAGATTCTGGCTGATTTTGCAAAGGATCTGAACTGGAAGATATTTACTGACTCTTCAAATTTTTTTCTTTTTGTCTAACTTCTCTCACATTTTGGCTTGATATACAGTTGCAGCAAAGTTTGATGCAAGTTAAAAATCACAAGTCTGAAAAACCTTAAATGGACTATTTCTATAGATTTTTAGGTTCTGTAGCTGAAGGCTACGTGGGGCATTTTAGGGATCTGTATCGATTTTCACTTTTTCTCCACCTAATTTTTTTGTGTATGCTTTGCAGTCTTTCTGCATCGAAGTACTGAGTCCTTTTCACTCGTGTGATTTTGTATGGAAGATAAGATATCTCTGGCCTTCCCTTCTGCATTTTTCAAATTCTCCATATCTCTGGGGACATTTCTTAGTGCAACTCTTGTTAGTTGATTTTCCCGTCTCCTCAAATGGTATTGGTATCTTAGAGTGCTAATTAATGATGCAGCATGAGCTCCGTGGTTGCAATCCCTGTCAACAGCTGGTAAAACTCAACAGCCCAAAGGGCTTTCAAATCAACACAGTCAAGATCATGATCAATAGCTTCAATAGCTGGGAAATTAAAAAGGTGT